AAAAAAAAAAAAAGAGAAAGAAATAGGGATTATATAGTCCATCAGAAGAGAATACCAAAATAATTTCACTAGGTTGAGGACAAAACTGGCTAATACATGCAGGGTAATAAGATCATAACTTTTGTGGTTGTTTTTTCTACTAGACAGAAATTATTTCTATATCTACTGGGTAAAAAGGTGTAAGTTAGCATGTAAATTAATAGTAAATAGAAGTCAAACAAAGGTATATCCTTCTAGGTAATTAAATAATCCTTGGATTGATTGGCCTGGGGTAGACAGTGCTCCAGGATGACATCTCTAAGTTTTGGTCAGTTGTCATTAAGTGAGTGCTATGGACTCTTAGGTTCACCTGAAACGAAATTATGTCTAAAACGAGCCTCAGAACCCTACTCTAGAGGAACAGTGGCGGGTTTGGGGGGATGGCTAAGGACTATTATCCTGAAGAAGACTTAGTGTGAGGACCCAGATACTCCCCTTTGCATTATTCTTAAATTGTAAGTTTGAGGAAATAGTTGAAGAGTGCAGAGATTTTATTTATACTACTTAAAAGCAGCAGCAGTTAAAAGGCCATTACAAGGCAGAAGGGGTGAGATGTGCCTTATGTTGCTCCAAGGAGAAGACAGGGTGACAGTAGAGTTGGTTTGGGATCAATTATAAAAGACAACTTCCTTACTGTGAAATAGCTTCATCCAGGTCAGTGTGTACTTTCAGAACAAGTACATTGCCTCTCTGTGTGTTCTCTGGCAAAAGCACAGCCATCATTGCCTTACCTCACTGGTGAGAAAGTGAGGGAGACAGAGGGGTCACACTTCAGATGAGTGTCTGTCATTCTGTAAAAATTAAGTCACTGCCTTTTAATTAGAAAGTAAAAAGCACTTTTTCCAAGACTTAACAATTCAATATCCTAGAGAGAGACACCCTAAGAAGTCAATTTTGGCTTCTTTGTGATCACAATAGTTGTTGCAGCAAAACCTTTTGATAACATTTTCTATTTAAAAAAACAAACAAACAATAATCCGCTTAAGTTTTGCCTTTTTAACTAATATTACTGCTCAGAGAGGTGCATTTACAGTTTTGTTGTTGTTTTTTGGAGGGGTTTTTTTTTGGCTTGTATTATAAGTTACTAAATCTCTGTGTCTGAGATTTCACACTTTTTTTTTTCCTTCCCACTAAAGCCATTGAAATATAATCACCCAGTCATTCACATCAGAGGTGTAAATGGCTTTTCTGAAGGTTTTTTAAGAGCCAATCAAAGTTAGTCACTTTGTGACTTGACTTCTTCAGGTGTTGCAATCAGAAAGCTTAACACAGCATCCCAATTGCAAGGATGCTAAAACTATGTCTTGACCTTGAATCTGCAAGCAGAGGGGTAACATCTGCTAGAAGTGCTCATCCACCACCTCTTTGATTTTATCCATTTGCATAGGATTTACTGGGGAAAGAGAAAAGAGACAATCAAATTGAGCCTTCTATATACCCAAGAGAAAAAAACATGTTTATTTGACTTTCCAGCTCCCAGTGATTGTTGCTGTTACAGTTTACATTTTCAGCCCATGCTTTTTACCATTGATATTTGTAAAAACCTGACTTTAAAAAAATGTATCAACCATGTCACACAAAGGCTGATTTCTCCATTTGTTTCATGTCATCAAAAAGACATACTGATTTGAAGCTTCTCTCAGGTTTACTCTTAAAATGTAACCCTGAGGAAATAGGGTAAGACTGCAAAGATTTTATTTACACTGTTCAGGCACACAGGCTGTGTAGTCAGGGAGATAGAGATTGAATTCCTCTTCCTACCTTGGTATCTCTGAGACTCAGTTTCCTTCTGTACAAGATGGGGATAATAAATCTACCTCCCTCATAGTGTTGTGAGAGTTTCATAAGATAACATTCATGAAGTCCTTAGCACATCATGGATGTGAGATAAGCACTTCATAAATGTTGGCTTTTATGTAATATTTTGACAATTACTATAATGACTTCACTAAAACTTGTGGTGTTCTTGTCAGGATTAATGACATTGTGACTGACTCACTTCCTAATACAATTAGAAAACAGATTTTAGCACTATATAACAATTCATTCTTAGTTAAAGAAGTTGAATAAACATTTCTGAGAAAATAAAAAGGAATCTTGAATCCAGAATTAGAAAATTCATCCTATTTGCTAGGAAATTTTTAATATTTTAGGAATGAATATCATTAAGACTTTGGAAGAACTGCAAAGAAACTATTGTGTGTTGGTAACTATATACTTGAAAAATTCAGGCAGGAAAACCTGCAGATAATAGTGCTCTGCCTTCCAAAGCAAAGTCATCTCTAAGAATTGGGTATCACCGGGGCACCTGGGTAGCTCAGTTGCTGAGCATTTGCCTTTGGCTCAGGTCATGATCCCATGGTCCTGGGATCAAGTCCTGCATCGGGTTCCCTGCAGGGAACCTGCTTCTCCCTCTGCCTGTGTCTCTGCCTCTCTCTCTCTCTGTGTGTTTCATGACTAAAAAATCTTAAAAAACGAATTGGTTATCACCTTGAGACCAAGATCATACAGCAACTAATCCCTACATATATGTCCAAAGTAGAACTCTGTAGAAACTACACTGGTTGTTGAAACCTGCCATCCAGGACCAGTGGCATAGTGGAGTCAGCTCTGGATTTGGAGTTGGGCAAAAGCAGACTCAAATCTAGGTTTTGCCTTTGCCATTTATTTGCTATGTGACTTTGGGCAGTTTGCTTGGTTTTTCTGAATGCCAATTTCCTCATCTATAAAATGGGTCTATTATGTAACCTACTGCCTTCAGTAGGGGAGGGCCAATTTTTAAAATGTGCTGCGTAAAATTGTTGAAGCAAAATACCATTAATAGTCCTGATACTATTACTACTACTGTTAGTATTCTACTATGGCAAAGGAAAATTAGCGGTCACAGGAAGAGCATGGGTTCCCCTGTACTGTAAGACACCAGTGTGGCTTCACCTCCTCTAATATAAGACAAATGTCCTCTGAGTAGTGACAGTGCTCAACCTCCCTCTGGTTGAAAATTCTTATCCTAGCACAGATACTGTACCTTTTTTTCATTAAGTGCTATTAATGCTGTTGATGTTTCATAATTAACATTAACACAAGTTTCTGTTTTCTTTTATTTGGATGTGGGTGAATTATTAGATAACAAAGGTAAAACTGGTTAGCTTGTAAGCTAAGTTTACCAATTTTTTCTCCATATACTAAATTATTTACCACCTCATCATACCTTTACTTGACATTCTTCAGGAGTTTGCCATTGTTGATAGGATCAACCCCAAACTCCCTCTTCTGACCACGAGGCCCTCGGTCTCTGAAGCCTCCACTTCATACTTTCTTCCCATCCTGCTCAACTTTGTATAGTTTTGTGAATCCCCTTCCCTCTTACTGGATTATCCTTGTTTTCCTTTCTGCCAGATCTGTTTCCACTAATTCTTCTAATTAATGGAACAGTGGCTGGCATATAAATGGACATTCAATAAATGTTTAAACAAATTGACTTGAAATCAGGTGACTCCCACATAGACTGAAACAGCCAGATATTTTCATTTCCACATGGCCTTGTGAAGTTTGGAATTCCTCCTAAAGTATGAATATATTCCATGTCATTGAGGGACTGTAGCTCTTAAAAATTACTTTGGCATTTTGCACATTTAACTCTCCTAAATGTGCTGATGAGGACCTGCTTCATAGACCCCAGTGGAGTTGATAAACCACAACACATATTTTAATAAACAGATTAAAAATACAACACTTAAAGTGTTGTATTCGTTACTGCCAACTGCAAAAGTTTGCACAAGAAAGAAGCATTTATTCTATTATTTAACAATAAAGTGAGCTCGTGTGTGAATCTTTGTATGTGGTATATGTCTAAGAAAATCAGAGTGGCAATGTTCATATGAGGTAACCAGTCCCTCTTGCGCTACATTCAAAAGAATATTTAGTTACTGTAATGACAAAAAGATTTCATATAAATACCAAAAGGACTTTTTCCCAAATGTAATGAAGTGGTCCCACTCTTAGATCCTGGGCACAGTATCGTCTCTATCTCTTTCTCTCTCACTCACATGCAATACACACACACACACACACACACACAGAGAGAGAGATTCTTTGGGATTTTAAAGTTCCAAGTAGAATTCATTAATAAAAATATGAAACGCTTCTCTTGTAGAAATCATAATGAAGTGTTGAGAGATAAAGGAAGAAGTAAGAGGGGCGAATAATCATCTGCTGCTCTAAAACTGAAACCTGTCATGTTAACTCCCAACTCAAACACCTAGTTTTAAAGATTTCCCTTCAAAAAACCTAAAAGCTTGTATCCTGCCTCATTGACAACAGCCTCAAACTGTTTCCTGTCATTGCAGAAAACAAATCTTTTGCTCCTTTCTGCCTAGGGGAGGCAGAGGGACTGAGGTGCTCCTATGTGGCTGAATTAGATGAAAGACTTGCCTTCCACCATGGAGACATGGAGTCTAATCAAGTAAAATGAGTTTTGAGATCCCAGCTCATTTCCTAGGGGAGATCGGTTCACATTACAAAATCACGACATCTCATTCATCACAACTGACGTGGTCTTTGCTCAGGAGAGGACCCCAACTGGGACTGAGCCACCTGTCTTCTCTTGAAAGGGGGCACTTTATCCAAGTTAGAGTTGAAAGTCTTGGAGTGAGAAGGCTTGCCAGCTTCACCCGAGTGATACATATGCAACACGGAAGGCAACTTATGTTTTAAAAAGGGCAGACGAGTTTAAGGAAGATTGGTGGTTGTACTTTCAATGATACTAAACACAATAATTGTGATAGAGAGGCTAAGCCTTTCTAAAGACCCAAGACTGGGGCTCCCCTGTCTTTATCTCCTCGATTTTATTAAACAGAAGTGAGAAGGATCAACATTTCCATGCATCAGAGTTTAGAATGGCAAAGAAAGTGTTCTGCTTTCTAGGCTGATAAAATGATCATCGTCTCTTTTATTTCTTTCAGGGCATCATTATAACACCCCTGCTACTGCTGCTTTTTGTGAGTATTTTGATGTTGTCTTTACTGCCTTTTATTAAAAGCCATCTACAACCCTTTGAGAAAGGGCATTAGAATAAAAATTGAAATTTGAATCCTTTTGCTACCATTTGCATCATAGTTTGAACTGTTCTTCCAGTTGAACTGTACAGAATAATAACATGTCGACACAAAAGATCTCTATGGTCTCATGATCCAAGGATGGCATCAGAGCCCAGTTATTAGGCTTCTGACTCCTGGTTAAATCATTAATTATTACAAATTAATGGCCTGAGATATAGGTCACAGATATATGCTTGCTCTTTTCTCATTGGTAAAACTAAAGTGATTGCTAGTGACCCAGTGTTTGACAGCAAGTGCCTTGGACCAGGGGACCTGGGAAAGCTTAAGTTCCAAGGCTTGTAGTAACTGGCTTCCTCTTTCTGGGGAATGCTGCCTCAATTTTTCCATCTATAGAATGGGAAACAATAACACCTATCCAGTTGTCTGCCAGGGATAATAAAATGTGCTTCAGAAATAGAAAATACCAGCTACTGGTTAACTAAACAAAAATTGTTCTGAAAATAAGAACTGCTAATTAACTGTCTTATTTCTTTTGGTGCTGAGCATATGAGGAATTAGATGAAAGATTATAATAGAAATTAATGTTATCTCATGCTGAGAAAAGCGTATGTAATCATGAATGATACCTAAAATATTTTATGAACTGTGCATTTTTCATACACAACATTTCCCAAATATAAATCATTCCACTCATCACTGAAATGGAGTTGGGGATCATTTCTCGGAGTAAAATGTAGCTGTTTGACTAGCACTATTTGTCAGTGAATTAAAACTATAGGGAAAATTTATTTAATTATAGTGTAATTACCCAAGTTGGAATTCAATTAGAGTAATAGTGTGAGGGACTTCATTTCTTACAAGCTGTGCAGGAAGTGGAGAGGGAGAGATGCCCTCCTAAACAGCTGGATTCTGCATCTTTCATGAAAGACATTACCTTCAAGTAATAAACCTCCGCTTCTCCATCCCATCTTGAAATGCTGGCTCCATGCTGACAAGGTTAAGAAGAGTCAAATCATCAGATCACTTCGCTCAGCATAACAAACCTAATTAATGTGGATGCTACCAATTCAGAATTTGCAGTGAGTTGCATTAATACAGTGAATATTGATTTGCATTCATTGGGAAGAAAAGTCTTCGTATGCGCCTAACTGCTCACTAGATGTGAGGAACTGGGATCACCCCCTCCATGTTCTCTCCGAGACCCTGGATCATGATTTCTGAGGGATAGCCACTCACAACAGGCACAGGATGTAGGCCCTTCTGAGGTCCCTACTTGCAGTGGGTCAGAAGACGGGTGGAAAACACAACAAATGGCTCTGTAGTGCAGGTTTTCTCTGCTGCAGAAGAGTGACGTCTTGTACTCATGTGACTCTTCAGACAAGCTAGGGAGAAGCCACAGCCACAGCTATGGGGCTGAAACCTAGGATAGCACTTTTGAGTATCTCAGAGACTGGAATCTCTCAGACCATGTTTCAGCTCATGACTGCAGAACCACACGAGTTCTTTTCTCCTTCTCCTGCCCATTTCCAGCCATAACAAGAAATGTTCTCAGCTCGTTAACATTATGACATCACACCGTTGCAAGCTTTCCCCTATTCTTAAACCCGTAGGCTGGTAGCTTTAGTTGGTTCAACATTTTAAAATAATCAGAAAGGATGAATACCTACCATTTACATTGACGTGGATGGAACTGGAGGGTATTATGCTGAGTGAAATAAGTCAATTGGAGAAAGATAATTATCATATGGTTTCATTCATTTGTGGAATATTAGAAATAGTGAAAGGGGACTCTAAGGGAAAGGAAGGAAACTGAGTGGGGAACCATTAGAGAGGAAGATAAACCATTAGAGACTCCTAACTCCGGGAAACAAAGGGGTTGCAGAAGGGGAGGTGGATGGGGGGATGGGGTAACTGGGTGATGGGCATTAAAGAGGGCACGTGATATGATGAGCACTGGGGTGTTATACTATATGATGGCAAATTGAATATAAATAAAATTTAAATAAATTAAATAAATAAATAAATAAATAAATAAATAAATAAATAAATAAATAAAAGAGCTACAAGAGTGAAAGAGACCCCAAGACCCTCAACTTCAAAATTTAATGCTTCTCCTCTGAGCTAAGCTGTCTCAAGAGGTTCAATGACATCATCACACGACATTAACAGACAAGTTTGTGTTACATAACCTTAAATCACATGCACAGTATAGAATACTTTTTGTCTATTAGGGTTGTCATGCATTCTACAAATAAAGGTCGTTGCTTAAACACTTGAATTACTGGGCTTCATTTACTGAGTAGGACAAATATCTGAGCGACTTAAATTGGAACACATTCTGTAAAAGATGTAATGTTTTCTTATCAGCACCCCCCTTATGAGTTGATTTGTGTCTTCCAAAAAAAAATTGTGTTGAAATTCTAACCCCTACTACATCGGAATGTGACCTTATTTAAAAATAGGATCATTGCTGTTATAATTATTTAAGATGAAGTTCTACTAGTGCAGGTTGGGTGCTTAATCTAATCCTAGTGTCCTAACAAGAAGAGGAGTCAGTCACAGAGGGAGAAATGGCAAGTCATGATGAGACAGGGAGTAAAGTGATGGCAGGTATCATAGCTGGAAGAGAGAAGGAGGGATTCTCCCCTATAGACTTCAGAGGGAGCACAGCCTTACTTGATTTCAGACTTAGAGCTTCCAGAACTGAAAAACAATCAATTTGTTTTTTAAGCCACCCAGTTTGTGGTATTTTGTTAAAGAAGATGAGGAAACCTACAACCCTGGAAAATTGAATTGTTTCTTTAAAATCATATCTTGAAAATGGAAATTTCTAAATATTCAGATGCAGTAGCTAGTAAAGGCCATGTTTACTGATGGAATTCTCAGGTCTCTGTATTCTTGACCTCTCCTCAGAATGTCCCCCCTTCACCATCTTGCTCCAACTGAAACCTGTCCTCTGAGTCAAGTTTCTGCCGCAGGTGTCTTTCGTATCACTGAGTCTTGAAGTGGGGCAAGCTGTCTTCCTTGCACCTCATTACCAGTTCCAGATCATTTCCTGTGCCTTCTCCATAAAATATTCTCATTCCTTTAAAAGTTATGCCAATATGTGTATATCATATCACCTGCTACCCCTTCTTGCTGGAATTATCAGTAGAACTCTAGGTCACTCTCTGAGTCCAAAAAATGTTAGCACCTCCCCATTGTCTTCTTTTTTAATCGTATACTTAGATTAATTCTTTATATTTTTCAGTATTCACATAATTTATCTTCCTAATACCCTGGCCTTTAAAGAGCCAAAGAGTCAAGAGCCTTCTTGACTCTTCTCCAGTAAGAATGCCTTCCACTTCATCTCAGCCAGTCACCCTTATAGACAGACACTTGACTTTATTACTACTGATAACAGCATCCTTTCATACTCCTTTTCATATGTCTTCTGTTACCAACAGCTCCTATCTTTGTGACCTATTCTTCAAACTTGCTAGAATGGCCAGTTTATTTACCTTACCACCTTAACAAAGCCTCTAACCTACTCTACCTAGTCAAGACCTCGTGGTCCATCATTATAATTATTGTATCGCATACACCATCAACAACTTTATTCATCTCTTGCTGCTTCATATTTGCATAGCAAAGTGCCAGCCCTGCTTAAATCCAACTCTGTACCTTCCTGCCTGTGTACCTGAACATGGCTGGAACACACACTACCATGCTGACTGGTCTCATTTGAAATTCATGACAATTAACTGTGCACCTAGTGATCCTACTACCATCCCCTAATTAATCCTCATTCTACTCTCTAGAGAACCATTTCATACTTTCTTCTTGCTTCTCAAATTTCTGATTCCTCTTCTCCTTTTTCATCTCATCTGATACAGAAAGGAAATTAGCCAATGAGGAAATTAGAAGCAATCAGAAATTTTATAAGATCTCACTTACCTGCATTTATATTCTTTGCCTTTTCTCCTGTTTCTTTGCCCTCATGTAAGGCCAGTCCCTCCTGTTGCATTATCTCTTTTTGCCAATTTAACAATATGATTCACACAGATTTCCCTCTTTCTCCTATATTATCAAATTTTCTGTCTCTGCTGAATCATTTCTATTAACATTGATGTATTCTGTAATATTACATATCTTAAAAATTAAATCTCACCTTATCCCACCTCCATGTCTGTCCTCTGTTTTATGGCAAAATTACTCAAAAAAGTTATTTAAACTTATTCATCATTCATTCAGTAGTAAGTATTGAGTTCTTCCTATATGCCAGGCACTTTGCTGGGTGCCAAGGATATGGCAATGAGCAAAAAGGTACATCTTTGCTGTTGTGGAGGTTATACTAGTAGTAAGAAACAACCAACAAATAAGTAAAAACAATGTATAAGATGAGTGATACATACTAAAGAGAAAAATAAAATGAAGAAGGGGAATAAGAAGTGCCAGAATGGGTTAGAGGAGTTAAAATGGCTCTTTTAAATAGGGCAGTCAGGGATCCCTGGGTGGCGCAGCGGTTTGGCGCCTGCCTTTGGCCCAGGGCGCGATTCTGGAGACCCCGGATCGAATCCCACGTCGGGCTCCCGGTGCATGGAGCCTGCTTCTCCCTCTGCCTGTGTCTCTGCCTCTCTCTCTCTCTCTCTCTCTCTCTCTCTCTCTCTCTCTCTGTGTGTGTGTGACTATCATAAAATAAAAATAAATAAATAAATGTGGTAAATAAATAAATAAATAAATAGGGCAGTCAGGGGTGGGACTCACTGAGAAAATGATGTTTGAACAAAGATCTAGAGGAGATAAGAGAGACTTCTGATGCCTTCTGATGGTAGAGTATTCCAGGTGGAAGGAATAGCAAGTGGAAAAGTCCTGAGAGTGTGTATGGTGTCCACAAGGAATAGTGAGCAGGCCAGTGTGGCTAGAATGCAGTGAGCAAGGAAGAGAGTAAATAGAGTTGA